CACACACACACACTTCGTTGAGCTTTTCAAACACCTGGTAGTTGGATGAATCCTATACCTCTTACCTTGTTTTTATTTTCTGTCTTTTCTTCAGAAGGAAAACATTTATTACGGCCCTAATCCCCAAGGCAAAAGCACATGACATGCGGTATAAAAGCTTGTTAAAAAGTTAAGGGCCCAGTTGGCCTCAAGCCATCAACCTCAGGCTGCTGAACCCCTCCGCTGTCACAAACCAGCACAGCTCCATCCCACGATGCTAAAACGAATCCATCTTTGGTCCTTTCTTTTTTTTTCAAGGGGGGGGGGTACAATCCTCTCCCTTGTTCGCTTGTGCGTCTCTTCTGTCATCTCATACTTTTGTACAAATTTTCTCAATTTGTTTTTTTGTGTTTGTGTATTTGCACAGACTTAAATACAATGACTTTTTGCAAGATATAACTAGGCATTTGGCAAGTCAGTTCCCTGATCATACAGACATTTACATGACAGCAGCTCTTCAGGTAATGTCATGTTTTGGATTTTTTTCCTTCTGTTGTTGATTGTCTTGTGTTGTAATGAACCCAGTGTAGTAGACACTCAGAAGTCGTCAAACACAAGTCATCTCAGTACCTGCAACAGAGACTCCAAATCGTGAAGTGATAAATCAAACAATAAGTTAATAACTCGTTAACAGAAAACAAAACCACACATATCCCTACCATTAATCAATTAATTTGTCATGGTAGAGAATCAAAACGACGTACGCAACGTACTCGAGCTTTAAATCAATGTCCTCAAGAGCAGGGAGTATGCCTTCGTGTTCGACGAAGAGAGTGGAGGGGGATCAGACAGAGGAGAGGGTGGAAGAGATGATAAAAGATCACAAGAAGAGTAATCCTGTCGAACCCCTCTCCTTCTCTGGGCTTCTTCCCTCTCCACCTCAACAACCAGAAGATGATAACAAGAATAGTAGTCCTGATCACACACAGTAGTGCCACGTGGCACTCCTACTCCATGAAGTCCATGAAGACACAGCAGATTCCAGTGACGACGTCAATCCTCAGGTGAGTACCAGATCTCTCTCATCCACAGATCCCGATCTTCCTCCTCCTCGCAACCAGTCACCTCATGTAGACAGCGTGGACAATGCCACATCAGCAATCGAGACAGGTGGCATTCGGCACATCATCAATGAAGACCAGAGGCATGCACCACATCAGCATGCAACGTAGACCAGAGGCAGCACCACATCATCATGCAATGTAGACCNGAGGCAGCGCCACATCATCATGCAATGTAGACCAGAGGCAGCGCCACATCATCATGCAGTGTAGATCAGAGGCAGCGCCACATCATCATGCAATGTAGACCAGAGGCAGCGCCACATCATCATGCAATGTAGACCAGAGGCAGCGCCACATCAGCATGCAATGAAGACCAGAGGCAGCGCTACATCAGCATTGTCTGGCGCACAGAAGAAGCGCCAGCATGCTGCCTCCACCTCGTGCCGTTGTGCGCAACGCCTGTGTATCGCCAGCATGTAGCCAGCGTCGCGCCAGCATAAAGCCCGCGTCTAGTCCAAGTCAAGCCAGTGTCAAAGCAGCATAGCAAGACTGAATGCTTGACTCGCTCGAGGCCAGTCTTAAGTAACAGTTGTGGAAGCTGTCTGTCCTCGGGTGGCTTTCCCACAGTCGCCCAGATTCACTCACAGCTGAGGGCCCGGATTGTACAGTTGCAGACTTCTCCCTTGGACCTGATGCGGTCTGGGTACCTGCATACAAACAAGTGTCTGTGCTTGACCAGTGGCCTGGGCTAGGTACCTTTGGACTTTGACTGTTGGTGTCACGGCAGTTTACCAAAGTCAACTGCCACACGTCCAGGCCCTGAGTCTTTGTTTGGGGTCCTTTTTGCCCCCGTTTCGGCCTGGGCTGAGGGCGGCCGAGTTGGTCCCTTTCCATGAGACATATGGCATGGGTTATTGCAGTGTTAATTTGTGTAACTGTGGTTTTTTTTTTTTTTGTTTGGGGGGGGGGGGGGGGGGGGGGGGAAGAGGGACTGTTCAAAAATTGAAAATATTATTTTTTGGATTTTTATTTTTTTTTTCCTGTTCTTCAATCACTCCCATCCTTCTTTTTTTTTATGTTTTTGTTGTTTCCCCCCCTGTAGTGGTAGTAGGATTTTTTTATGTTTTTTTATGTTTTTGTTTTGAGGGGGGGGGAGGGGGAAGAGGGACTGTTCAAAAATTGAAAATACTATTTTTTGGATTTTTTTTTTTTTTTTCCTGTTCTTCAATCACTCCCATCCTTCTTTTTTTTTATGTTTTTGTTGTTTCCCCCCCCTGTAGTGGTAGTAGGATTTAAATAGCACGCCGTTCGCTTGCTCACTGTACTCCAGTTCTTTTTTTTTTTTTTTTTTTCCCTCCATTTGGTTTCATGTCCAAATTTGGAGCGCTGTTTTCTTGTCGTCCTCTTTGTTTTTCCTCTTTTTTCGGCTTGAAGTTTTATTTTTTTATTTTAGTTATTTGTTTATTTGTCTGAAAACTGCAGCGTCCATTTTCTGCTGTGCTCGTTCATTTGTACCTTGATGAAGTTGGATCCTCCTTTTTCTTTTCGGCGAATTTCGGATTTATCATTTCTGATCATTTCTCCTTTTTTTCCCTTTCTTTGGACCAGTCAATCAATTTCTCGATTTCTTCTTCATGTGTCATCCCTGTGCAGGGGTAAATGTTTTTTTTAACTTTTTGGGCCGGCTTTTGGTTTCCTATTTTTTTTGCAGCCATCTATGCTCTTTTTTTTTTTTTTTTTTTTTTGGCCTGGGGTCTTAAGGTCTTTCCAATTTTATATTTTTCAGTGGATGTTGCAAAGGAATTCCATTCTGCGTCCATGTTTTTCTGCCGTATGTGTTCATTTGAACTTTGATCCTTCTTTTTCTTTCTTTGAGTTTCAGATTTCTCCCTGTTTCCCTTTTTCCCCTTTTTTGGACCATGTGGCATGTGATCAATTTCTCGAAGAAAATTTTTTTTTGGTGCATGTGTCATCCCCGTGCAGCCATCTTGTTTCCCCAAACTACTTCTGTTCCGTTTTCTTTTTTGCAGCGGTCTAATAGGTCTGCGGACTCTGCGCTTTTTTTTTAAAAATGTTTTCCCAACTTTCGGTTTGTAAACGGATGTTGCCAAGGACTTCCGCTGCTCTTATTGAACAGTTTTGATTCGTTTTTGAAGCGTTTGTTGAAATTTGTTCGGAAATTTCAAATTTCTGAAAACACATTGTGTGCATAGTGCCAGAGTCCCGATTCCCGATTCCCGACTTCAGACTGCCTCTACTTTCTCCAGGCAATTCTGAGTTTAAAGCACCAGTACACCACACATCGGCCCGAGGGTGTCAGCACGAAACCCGCATCACTTTGGAGCCCGCCGATATTTTTTTTCGCTGGCGCCCCACACCCCTGCGGCCTCTGAGTTTTGCTTGTGGCAACAAAAAAATTCTGCAAGGATGGGGCCGTGTACTAGCGGTTTAAAGTTTAAACCACCATAGCCGGGTTCAATGTTCTTCTTTCGTTCTTTGCGATTTTCTTCTGAGTTTAAAGTTTAAAGTTCAAACCGCCACTACCTTTCCCAGGCAACTGTCGGGAATATAAAATGCAAAACGAGTAGCAAATTTAGGGTAGCCACTACCAAAAATCTGATTTGAATCAACTGCTCACTAAGGGCGGAAGGGAAAAAAAGAGCAAGCGTCTCATGTAATCGAAGGAGGCAAGAGAGGGGAACATAAAATTTCCAGAAAGAGTCAAAAGACAGCTCAAAGTTCAAACCATAGCTGCGGCACATCGTGATGTGTGCTGCACTGCACATCTGCGCCTCACAGCAAATGCACACAGCTGCCGCGCATCGTGATCCGCTGCACCCCCTTAAAACTTAACAGTTAAATAGGGGTCCCTGACAAAAATTGGGAGGGGCACGGTGTTGTGGCACACCACGGCCCTTGCCTCATAAAAAACGAATTAGCGAAGAAAAGAAAAATTGGAGCCGCGCATGACAGCGCCCCCTCATCTCCCCCCCCCCCCCCCCCCCCCCCCCCCAAAAAAAAAAAAAAAAAAAGATGTGCGTGTGTGAATCAGTGTGACGATGTGTGTACGTGTGGATCCACAATCCAAAATGTTCCTAAGCTATCTTCCAGGTTCGTTGCAGTCATGATGAGGATGGGTGTGCTTGCAAAAGGGGCAAAGCGAAGTGCACACCACACACAAAGCAGATGTACGCAGTCACTCGAAAGAGTGCCTCCCTGTCAGAGGTACTCTGAGGTAGACAGAGACAGGAATGGCTACTTCAGTGCGAAGTGGCGGTTACGTCGTCTCTTTCTGAATGCACAGAAGTTGACAGAACCCCTACACTGATTTGAAATTGGATACAGTCACGCATCGGACGTCACATCCAGAGGACCTTACATTTCCTTATGCTTTTTGTTTTGTTTCTACGATTGCCAGACGCCTTTCCACGTTTGGAATGCTTTAGGGCCTCGCTCCACGACTCAACACTTGCACAAAAGACGAAAACGATGGCAGAGTATCTGCCCACGCTTCTGGTGGAAGATTCATTCTCATTTTGGTCATTTGGTAAGTAGTGGAGCGAGCTACGCATGATGAGAGTCCGTGAGAATTGGGTGCAGTCTGACACAGGGCCTCGCTCCACTAACCACCAAATGTGCATAATGATAATGAATCTTCTGCTAGAACATGGAAAGAATCCATAACGTATCTTTTCTTCAGAGTTTTCGTTTTTTTTAAGTTTCATTTTTAATATGCTTTTTTTTTTTGGGGGGACGGGGGTGGTGCAGGATCTGGACATCCGGTCCGGACTGGACACCAGACCCGGACATCCATATCCGGACTCGCCGTACTTCGATCGGGACGTCCAGAGCATAACAATGCTTTGTTCTTCGATGGGTTGTTCGGACTTGTTCTTTTTCAGCAATTGCATTCATGATTTTCAGTGGCTGTTCAGACTTGGGGCGTCGCCACACCACTCTCGAAATGTGTAAATGGAGAATGAACTTCCCGCTAGAACATGGCCAGATGCGCCCGCCAAATTTTTGTCTTTTGCACTTTTCGAGAGTGGTGTGGCGAGGCCCTTGTTCTTTTTCAGCAATTGCATTCATGATTCTCAGTGGCAGAGCAACGTACCCTTGCAATGGGTACTACAAGTTTCCCCATACCCTTACAGGGGGCAGGAGTTTTCGCCGAACTTCGTGCTCGGTAAATCGCTTTTTTCAAAATTTTTGAAGTTTTTTGAAGTTTTTTCTTTCAATGGGTTGTTTTTTCCTGAACCGTTGCCTGCTTGAGGCCATACTCAGTATTACTCACACTGTGTTTTTTTTTTTTTTTCCGCTAAGCTCTTGGACGTTAATAATTGCAGTCAGGTCTGGCTGTAATTGCAGTCGGATACATATAGGAAAGTACTAGTGTGAGTATGTGCTGATTTGTGGTGTTAGCAGCGTGTACAAGTTTTCCCCGAACTAAGCGCTCGGAAATCTTTTCGCCTTGCAGGCATTTGAGAGTCAGTGGCCAGTTGTTCAAGCAAATGCTGCATATTTTTCAGGGTGTCTGCAGTCGCAGCTCAGCGACAAAAAACCCATAGCTGTCTTCTTACCACAGGTAATTGCCTTCTTTGTCCACCCACCTACCATCATCGGTCTTTGCTTTCACCCATCCCTCCAGCTTCCCTCGTTGTCGCTACATCACTCCGCTCATTCCTTCATCTGTCCACCCCTATGTCTCTCTCTCCCTCCCTCAAAACACGTGTCCGTCCATGCTAGTGTTTGGTGGACGCTCTCTCATGCCCTGAGTTGTCGTGTCTGTACCTGTCGTTGTGTACAATCTGCTTCTGATTTGCTGGTGGTCAGATTTGCTTGGGCACTGTCATTGGAACTTGCTTTCAGCAATAGAATCAGCATTTAGCACTCATTAGTTGATACAACAAGGAGGTAGGTTGGTAGGTTGGTTGGTTGGTTGGTTGGTTGGTTGACATCAGACGTCGTGTTTGGTTGGCTGCTCTGCAGGTCACATCGGCACTGGTGCGAATGACAGCCGGCACATCTAGTGCAGTTGTGCGAGCGAAATCAGCAGCAGCGTTAAGCTTTCTCCTTCGTGATATCCCCCCTCTCAGCTGATAACTGTCCTCACTCACTGCCTCCCCTATGTTCCTGTATTCAAAATTTCAATTTGATGCAAACATTAGAGCTTGATACAGACAATGGACCTGGTGGAGGCAATTTGAACTCTTCCAGGACCGTAGAGCTATACGAGATTCCATTTTCATATATTTTTTTCAATTTTTCACTCTGTTTTTCCAAGTGGCAATTATGATTGCAGTCAAGAAGAATCGCGTTTGTTCCTATTCATTCCTGCTGCATCACCTCGCCAATTCGTCTAAGAGAGAAAACGCATCTCGAGAGGAAACGGATGTCGAGACGAAATGCATGTGGAGGTGAAATGCATATGGATTGAAGAGACAGTTAGTCGTCTTTACAATCAGCGCCAGCTTTGCACCCTGTTCAATCTATAATCCGTACTGATTTTTTTTTGGAAATCTAATTCGACGGGGTTAATAATGATCTGCAGTTTTGAATATATAATTGAACAGTGCATTTAACAGTTTACCGGAGTAGTAGCAGCGCCATAGTAGACTTGTAAGTAGCTGTAGTAGATTAAACTGTGCATTTCATTAACCATGTCGAACCGAAATGGTTTAAGACAGTTAGTTGTCTCTACACAATCAGCACCAGCTTTGCACCTGGTTCAATCTATAACTCATAATGGTTTGCAGATTTGGAACTCCAATTCAGCTGGGTTAATAATGATCCGCAGTTTTGAACATCTAATTGAACAGTTCGTTTAACTGTTTACCATCGTAGTCGTTGTTGTTGTTGTTGTAGTAGTAGTAGTAGTAGTAGTAGTAGTAGTAGTAGTAGTAGTAGGAGGAGGAGGAGGAGGTGGTGGTGGTGGTAGTTGTTGTTGTTGTAGTAGTAGTAGTAGTAGTAGTAGTAGTAGGAGGAGGAGGAGGAGGAGGAGGAGGAAGAGGAGGAGGAGGCCTCATAAGGAGGAGGAGGTGGTGGTGGTGGTAGTAGTAGTAGTAGTAGTAGTAGTAGTAGTAATAGGAGGAGGAGGAGGAGGAAGAAGAGGAGGAGGATAAGGAGGAGGAGGTGGTGGTGGTGGTAGTAGTAGTAGTAGGAGGAGGAGGAGGAAGAAGAGGAGGAGGATAAGGAGGAGGTGGTGGTGGTGGTAGTAGTAGTAGTAGTAGTAGTAGTAGTAGTAGTAGTAGTAGTAGGAGGAGGAGGAGGAGGAGGAGGATAAGGAGGAGGAGGTGGTGGTAGTAGTAGTAGTA